CCGCGCCCCAGGAGTCGGGCGCGGGCGACGCTGGCGATGGCGCCCCCTCGAGCAGGGATGGCGCGAGCGTCGCCCCATCCACCACGTCGACCGGCACGGCCGATGTGGGCGGCGGCGAGGACGACCGCCGCAGCACCGGTAGCGGCGGCAGCGGCGGCGACAGCCGCAGCCGCGGTCGCTGCGGCAGCGGCAGCGACAGCAGCAGCGGCGGCAGCAGCGGCAATGACGGCGGTAGCGACAGCAGCAGTGGCAGCGACAGCGAGACGGATCTCCCGGCGCTCTGTGGGCCAGAGGCCCGGCGGCTCGCCCGCTTCGACAAGCCGGCGGAACTCACCAGCCGCCGCACTAGGGAGAACCCTCGCCGAAATCCGAGGTACGAGTCGCCCCCGTCGCCGACAAGTGCCGAAGCCTTGCTCGCCTCGGTGGCGAGCCTGCACGTCAGCAGCACGGAGGAGTCACCCGCTGGATGCTCTCGGCGGTGCTTCATGTGGCGGAGGGGCTAGAGGCGAGGGTGGTGCGAGAGTTGCTGTTTGAGCGCGCGGAGGAGGCCCACGCTGCGCGCCAAGAGGCGGAGGACTTCCTGCTGGGTACGGTGGACCTCATGCTCAACTCGCCAGACGCCTTCGAGACGGCTCTGGCGTCCCACGAGCTAAGTGAATCCCGCATAGGCAAGCGTCCGAGTGAAGTAGACCCCCCCCATGACCGTAGCCGGCGTTGCCAAGTCTGTGTACAGCGAGGGGTGGGAACGGGCCATGAGTGAAGAATTTGAAGGGCACTTGGGCACGGGGACGTTTTCATTCGTAGACGGCGCGCCAGAGGGGCGCAGGCCTGTGAGCTCCAGGTGGTGTTTTAGTTGGAAGACCAACAAGGAAGGCAAGGTAGAAAATTTCAAAGCGCGTCTGGTTGCTAGGGGATTTTCGCAAATCCCGAACGTTGATTATTTCCATTCGTCTTCCCCTGGCCCATCATCCGCATCCATCAAACTGATGCTTGCGGTAGCAGACGAGAAGGGCATTAACCTCAATCACTGGGATGTGAAGCAGGCGTAACCACACGCCACGCTAGACGAAGTTTTTCTGAGGCTCCCCGCTGGGTGCGGGGACAAGTCGCATAAGATTGTTAAGGCTGAGCGTGCGATTTATGGCCTGAAGCAGAGCGGTAGGCAGTGGGGGTACCACGCTGCTGATACGCTAGTCGAGAACGGGTTCGAGCAATGCAAGGCGGACCCGTGTGTTTTCCGCAAGATGGTAGACGAAGTCGTGGTGATGATTATCGTGATTTATGTGGATGACATTTTGGTGGCTGGGTCTGACGAGGATTGCGAGGAGTTGCTTGCTTCTCTCAACAAGAAATTTCCCACCAAAAACCTTGGAGAGTGTCAATGGTTTGATGGGTGTGCCATCGAGCGAGATGTAGAGGCTGGGACTCTTAGAATCTCCCAAACCGCGTATATCGACAGCATGGTTGAACGCTTCGATGTGCAATCAACTTCCCGCATCCCCGCTACCCCTGGTGCCGATCTAGGGCCGCAGCGAGAGGATGAGGAGGGAGGGGAGTGGCCGGTGAGGGAGGCCATCGGCAGCATGATGTGGGTGTCGACTTTCTCGCGTCCAGACGTCTCGTTCGCCGTGCGTGCGGTAGCGCGCCACGCCCACGCCCCGGCGAAGCGGCACTGGGATGCCATACAGAAGATCCTCGGCTACCTGAAAGGGACGAGGGACCTCGGCATCACCTACCAACGGGGATCGGGGTTAGGGCTGGCCGTGTACGTAGACGCTAGCTACGCCGACACGGAGGATAGGCGTTCGGTGTCAGGGTTGGCGACGACGGTTGGAGGTACCGTAGTCAGCCATGGTAGCAAGACGCAGAGTATCGTGTCTTTGTCTTCAACGGAAGCCGAGTACATTGCTGCCGGGGAGGGCGTCAAGGAGTCGTTGTTTGTGCGTGCTGTGCTTTCGTTTGTTGCCCCAGAGACCAGAGGTAGCAGCACCCAGGTCCTTTAGGACAACCAAGCGGCCATAGCGTTAGTCCAGAACCCCCTCAGCTCAGGTCGCACGAAGCACATCGACGTGAGGTTTCATTTCATCCGCGGATTGTTTAGGTCGGGGGATATTACGGTCAAGTTTAATCCGACAACGGAGCAACACGCGGACCTCCTTACCAACGCCCTTAGCAGGGCCAGCCTGCAGTACCACCGGCGAAAGCTGATGGATTTGCCGGAGTAGTTGTAGCATTTTTTTGCACTTGCCTTGGACTTTCTGATAAGTGCGGCCGTTGTGATCCGCCGTGAAAGCGACGGTTTTTGTGGTGGTAGGGGGTTATTCGAGGGGTTTTGCCCGGACGCCGGGTTTCCCCTCCATTAATTACCATGTTGGTATTTCTGATGTATCCAAGGGCGTTCTTGCCCCATTGATGGTTAGTCACTTGCGTGAAGAACCAGGGAGGGTGTTCGTGGGTCTGCGAACATTGGTGTTGGAGACATGTGCTTTATTTGGTGTCACGCAGATTGGTAAGATTGCCGTTTGGTAGGGGGCACCGCGATGAGTCACGAGGCCTCTCCTTGATGTAGGAGCTGCCCATGTGGGGCGCTCCCTCTTTCGTCCGTGTGAAGGACGGTCGTCGACCTCTCGTGAAGNCTTTATTTGGTGTCACGCAGATTGGTAAGATTGCCGTTTGGTAGGGGGCACCGCGATGAGTCACGAGGCCTCTCCTTGATGTAGGAGCTGCCCATGTGGGGCGCTCCCTCTTTCGTCCGTGTGAAGGACGGTCGTCGACCTCTCGTGAAGTAAATACATCACCGAAACAGTCTCACCCGATAAATATGTGGCGTAGGCCGCAAACAGGGCAGTCCTGCGCCGGTTTGCCTTCCCGAATGTGGTAGAAGTTGAGTGCCTGGAAGGAAAGTGGAGCTACTTCTCCCACAGCGGTTGCGGTCTCTACCTTTTGTGTTGTTGTCGGCAGAGCTACCTTCGGCAACACGTCCGGGGTCTGGTGGATCGTCTTTTGAGTCTCCTCCGACGGGGTCACGACGTCCATCAACGTAGTGCCCGAAGTTCTTGGTGATGCCGTGGTATGAACTTGCTGCTTGTCGGACGCGAAACCGGCCACGGAGGCACCGAGCACAAGCGCTCCTGCTCCAACCAGCCTCCGCCATCGTTTGGCGTCCGGCTGCATCGTGAGTCGCCCGCCCACGTTGTCGAACGACGCTTTCCTAGATTCTCCGACCTCAGTTAAAGACCCGTACATGCCGCTGCCGCTGTCGTGTGTTTGCACGATCCTGAAAGAACGGCAACGGCGCTTGACTTGGTGCTGGCTAGGACTCTGCGTGTTTGAGGTAAGAACAACAGGTGTACAGGAGACCGTCCGTTATCGTGAATGCCACACCGTCCTTCCCGCCCGAGTGTGAACACTACACAATGGATGCATCTTTGGGATACAGTTTGACTTGAAAACTTGGATGCTAACAAATTGGGGCTCGAAACACAACAACCAAAAAATGTGCACCATTCGTGAGCCTGATGGTTAAGAACCCTAAAACGCACTGTAGATCAGCATGACGCCCGCCCTTTAAAGAACCTCAAGTTCCTCTTGTAGACTATATATTGCGTCTTCAAGGAACGACTTCTTCAGATCGTTTCGGTGGCTACACAGGCGGCCATATCTCGGCGAGTGCAGAGGTACAAGCTCGCATCGCGCGGGCGTTAAGACGCCGAAACCAGGCGAACAAGATCGACCTCGAACCAGTCGACGCCAATGATATGGGCATGGAGTGACAGTAGAAATATGTCCTGCATATGTTGTTGTACTTCGTATTGGTTTAATATTCATGTAGAGTATAAGACATTAAGTGAAAGTTTCTGAGGTACATCTGCAATTAATTGTCGGAAGGCAAAAAAACATATATATATTGCCGCTACATATATGTTTTAGTGTAGGTTTCTTAACCGGGCTCGAAATGGTGTTCAAGTTCTTAGGTTCTCAATTTAGGTTCAGTTTCTTTACTACTAAGTTCTTGGGGGCTGGTGCTACTAGGTTCAGTTTCTTTACTACTAAGTTCTTGGGGGCTGGTGCTACTGTAGCTGTGGAAAGGACGGCAACCTGCAGGATACCAAACGTGAAAATGCCGGAGAGTGATGTGGATGGACTCTGGTGTCAAAATGGTGCACGTCCAGCAACAATGCAAACATGCTCAGCCGTCAGACAACAGTGTTATTTTGTCCTTGTGTCGTAAGCTGCATGCCAAAGGGGACGGTGTAGTGCGTATATTTTTGCATGGTGCATGCGTATGTTTTTTAATTTGTACCGACCGCGCCAACCGGCTGACAAATGAAATGACGTCAGTCTCAGAGCGGTTGAAAACGCAACACACTTCTATATGCCATCAACTTAGGTTCACCGTCCGCGGCATCGCAATAACCCAAGCAGTCACCGTCGCAGTAGCAGCAGCAGCCAGCAGCCTCACTTGTGCCATCACCCACAGCAGACCATGTCGATGAGATCCGTCCTGCTGCCCCATCTTCAACGGTTGGGGTTTTGTGGAACGGCATCCGCAGCGGCGGCCTCGACCAGAGCTGCGGTGGCAGGAGCAACGCCGCCGGGAGCATTAGCGGCAGCGGCTGCGACGGATGCGGCGGCGGTGGTGCGTGACGAGCAGTCGGAGGAAGCGGCAAGAGCGACGGGAGCAGCAGTGTTGGTCCTGGAGGAGTCCGTCGTCAACAGCGAGAGGGTCGACAGCAGCGTCAAGCAGTGGAGCCTCTTCCGATGATTGGGCACGTGGGGCAGCCAAGGTGCTTTCGCCGGCAGCGGCGGCGGCGACGGCCAGACCTGCAGCAGCAGTGGAGATGATGGCATCTACGGTTTCGAGAGGGGCGCGTCGTACCCTTTTGACCCTTGAGGATTGCGCAGGAGGTGCGTGAGAAGGGAGACCACAACAGCGGTGATCAGGAGGACCAGAGCAGCGGTGGCCGCCGCAGCAGCAGCGGCAACGGCGGAGATGGCGCAGCCTGGGGTGGAGCGTCAACGCATCCTTTTGACAGAGGGAATCGGTCCCGGTGGAGGAGAGCGACCAGGGGGGCCGTGCTGGGAGTGGACCTTCCATTCGAGGTAGAGATGCATGGGCACATGCCGGGGGGTGATGCTCCGCACCAGGCGGCACCCCCGGGAGCGGCGGCGGCGGCGCGGACGGCTTCGGTCAGAGCGCCGTCCCCGGCAACAGCGGCATCAAGAGCGTCGACGGCGGTGGTGGCTTCGGCCAGAGCTCCGTTGGCGGCAGCGGGAGAAGCGGCCTCGGCCAGAGCTCTGGGGAGGGCAGCAACGGCATCGGCGGTGACGGTAGTAGCAGCAGCAGCAGTGGCGGCGGCGGCGGCTTCGGCAGCAGCGACGGCGGAAGCAGCGCCACCGGCAACGGCAGCAGTTTGAGCGGCAATGAGAAGGCGCGCGAGCGGGGGGCTAGTTTACCGTCCGTTTTCCCCCACGCCCACCCCTCCCGTGCCCCCCACAGCGCCACACCGGCAGCGAGCCCCGGCGACGTACGCGCCAGCGAACGCGGGGGGGGCGCAGCGTAATTTGAGAAGTAGCAGCGAAGCGGAAGACGGGTATTTGGCTCCGGTGAACACTCTCGAGTTGACCGAGCAGGGCGAGGACATGGTGGCAAGGATACGACCTCGCCAGATTTGCGCCAAATTGGAGACGATATGAAATGTTAACGAGTTTGTTTGGGTTTTGTGTGGAGGCATTGGCATTTTAACTTCACGTTGTTTGTTCTTTATGCTTTTTATTTTTTATTATTTTTGTCCCATGTCGGGTGCATCCTTCCCGTTGCGCCGAAGACGAGAATTTCATCCAGGAACCGCCTCCGAGAGACAATGCGTTGATGTCTACGGCATTCCTGTTTGTGGTGGAGCATTGTTTTTTTTTTCTGGGTTTTGACTTGTGTTTCGGACCCGAATTTGTGTAACATGCGAAAGTCATACAACTGTAGAACTCTGCTGTTTGTACTGCTATCAAGAACCATGGGGGGGGGGGGGGG